TCTCTCTCATCATTGATGTTTCTATCTCTCTCCCGATCCCTTCCTCTCTGAAATCAATAAAAATACATTTAAAAAAATAATTCCAGCTGGGATAAACCAAAGCCACATGGCTTAACTTTGAAAGACACGGCCAGGCAGTACTGTGGGGAAAGAGCAGAGGGTTAGCACCCGTGAAAAGCTCAGGCATTCCGATTGTTCATCACAAGCAGAAGTGCACCAGCAAACACTGGTTTCAATCCACATCAAAGACGTTTCCATTTATCAGCAGGGAGATGTTAACAATGTTCTCACTCTTATTTAAGACAGCATCTTGTCCCCAGTGCCCTCTCAGCACTCCCAATCCCCCCTTCCCTAAACTCCTTGTTCTCCCATGGGTCTTATGGCCATCTGATACACTATACCACTTGCTTATTCGTTGTGCATATTATTACTATTCTGTGCTAGAATGCAAGCTCACTGAGAACAGGGAATCTTTGTGACTCACTGCTGTGTCCCCAGTACATGGAGACACAATAGCCTAAATTACAGTTGGAGCACATTCCTTCTCCTTAGAAAAGCAGATGATGGTATCTACTCAAAACATTTTCTAACATTTCACCAAAACTGCTAAACGCTGCTAAATATTTCGCACATTTGAATAGAGACATTGACACATCCATAAGTGAATTCGACAGAGCAACATCACAGAGGAGAAAGCTGTAATTAGGGAACAATAGAAATATCACTGACAGATGGAAGGGGAGTTTTCTTGCTGTTACAGATCATCCCAGGGAGTTATGAGAAGAGTTCAGAGAGTTAGCATGACTGACAGGCAATCCAAGCATTCCGACTGAGCCAGGATTCCTCAATTCTTAGGCACAGTGTGGAGAAGCAGGGGGTGGGGGGATTAGGACATGGGTGTCTTTGGAGCCATGTGTCAGCCGACCACAAGTAGGCTAATGCCTACTCCCATTTCACCCAGGAGGAAACTTAGCGCCCTGTGCCCAGGGACAGAAGGCTAACAAAGTAGTGGAGGTGGGATTTGAACCCAGCTCTGTCTACCTCTGAAGCTCATTCTTTTTTCTTCAGGGTCTAAGTCCTGGACTGTGGCACTGCCCCACCGTGAGGCCTCATATTCTTTTCTTTGTACCATGCCACCTACAAAGGCTGAGGAAAAGATCTTAAACCAGCAGGTCCCAACCTCTGAGTGGAGACGATTGTAAGGAGACTAAAAATCCACATGTGCTCCCAGCGCTGCCCGTAAAAATCATGAAAGCACACATTTCCAGGACGCGGGGGCCTGGAGAATATCTGTGTTGATTCATTATATTCTTTACATAAGTTAGTGAACATTTCCCATCCCCATGGAGGCATCTTTTTATACAAAGAATTACCTATAATCCTTGCATAGAACAATGTATAGTCTTCCTTCTGAGTCTTAAGTAATATTTATCAATTGCAGCTCTAACTGCACACACTCCTTTAGGGTTTGTAAGTTATTATGGACTAAACTCCCAAGCTTACTGTGAGTGGAAGTTATTGCCAATGGAGGGAAGGATGCGGTGGGTCTATGTGTGGGTAGGTGCTGGAGTTTTCATAACCCCAGAAAATTTTTCATGTTACAAATTCTGGGTATGCAGCCATAAAAAGGAATAAAGTGCTACAAGGTGAAGGAACCTTGAAAACAGTATACTAAGTGAAGGAAACCAGACACAAAAGGACACATGTATACTTTCATTTATATAAAATATCCAGAACAGTTAAATCCATAGAAACAGGAAGCAAATTAATGGTTGCCTCAGGCTCTAGGGCATGGGGAGTGGGGAATGGGGAATGACTGCTTGTGGTATGAAGTTTTACTTTGGAGTGATGACATGTTTTAGAATCAGATAGAGGTCGTGGTTGCCTCTGTTTTTCACTCTAAAATGGTTAATTTCATGTCATGTGGATTTTACCTCAACACATATAGGGTTAAGTAAATGGAGGCCTCTATTCTGGGCAAACATGGGGTAAGATAGCCCATTTCTTTACAGTGCAGTATTCAGTATTGTTCTGGTTTGAATCCTAGAGGGGCAGCTCCTAGACAAGGAGTTGACTGATTTTATATAACCCTGGGCAGAATCCATCTTCTATCACTTTACTTGTTGGACTTTGACAAAAAGGTTTAAAGGAATGGGAAGTTATAAAAATCATAAACTCACTCGTTAATTTTTGCTACTAAAGTAAGAAAAACTTGCTGTAAAAAATAGCTATGTTATGCCAAAATTTATTTTAAAGTAATACCCAGGATAAACACTTCACTTCCAATTCCCCTACATATTAAGTCGCCTGCTTGGATTTTCCTATAAAAGAGCCAGAAGAGATAATAAAATGGAAGTGCTCTGTGAACTCCGAAGCACATTTCAAACGTAAGGCTTTATTATTGGTGTAAATAATGATAATCATCAAACAGTCAGCGTCAAGGAAAATGCTGCCATGCCACAGAGCAGTTTCAAACGGCATGGCAGTAATAACTAGTCCAGGAAATTAGTGGTCTATTACCATACAATCAACAGCCAGGAATTAAGCAACACATGTCAACAGCTGCAGTTTGGATGTGCTCATAACCAGATAGGACATACCAGAAGAATGTGCATGCGTGAGATAAGCTTCCCCCTCCTGAATTAAAGATTGTCCCCGCAGGGAGCCTGGGCTGCCCCGAGGGGCCCTGGGTAGGATACAATTGCCAAAGGAAGAATGTGCAGTTCTGACTGGTGGCCAGGGGTAGGAGAGTCTGCTGAGCAGCCAGGGGAAGAGTGAAAGGTAAGGCGATCAATTGCCAAGCCTCCTTCAAGCCAGCACCGCCCTCTAGAATCCAGCTTCTCCTTCTCCCTGGGGAAGAAGACTTTCCCAGCGCCCCTGGGCCTCCCACTGTGTGGGTCAAGACAAGACAGGGATGTGGCATGACTTTCACAGGACTGAATCTTCGAGAGAACTCTCGCTCTGTGCCACGCAGTATAGATTCCGGGCTGGGAACCCATCTTTCCGTTCCAAAGTGAGACCGGACACTGTGGCTTCTGTGCTCTTAGAAGTGGTGAGCGAGGCTTCAGTGCTGCTGCGAGGCCAGAGGACAGCTGTGACGAGAGGGACAGCAGGGGAGATAGAAGAGGACACCCGAGGAATGAGCTGGGGGTGCTGAGCTCTGGGCCATGTTTGCCAATAATCCCTTCAGTGACCTCGCACCTAACTTCTCCTCCTGGGTGTGGTTATCTGTAAAATGGGGTGATAGCCCTGGCCTGCTTGCCTCAAACGGGGTATTGTTAGAAGAGAGTGAGTAAAAGTGACAGTCAAGGTGGGGACAGGGGAGGGGAGACAATAACAAACAGTAAAATACGCAAAAAGTTAAGCCTATATCAGCATTCCCTAAACTAGGCCCCAGCATCCCATGTAACCAGGACCCTAGGTGGCAAGAGTTAACCTGAAAGAAGAGATAAACTTGGGAAGTGATGGCTTAAACACTTATAAACCCATTGGGTTTATATTACTGAGTAAAATAGATATGGATTTTCCTTTATGGGATTTAGGATTTGATGGCGTAATACATGCTGTCAAGGAAATAAAGAGAACGCAGTGGCAGAAATTTAGGGGGAGATCTATTAGATAGTGGGGCAAGGAAGTCTTTTCTGGGGCAGCAACACTGAGAATCCTGAAGCTCAAGGGATCCAGCTATGCAGAGGAGCGGGGCGCATGGCAGGGAGCACCCAGAAGGGAGATGCAACAAGGTCAGGAGAGGAAGGGCTTAGGACAAAGTGGCCAGGAGGCCTGGGAGCCTTTTCCATGCCATGTTTCTTGTGAATCTCCAAGAGTGAGGGGTATGATAAACACTGCTTCCCAAACAAAGTATTTCAGGAGGTTAAAACGGACATGCCAACTAAGCTACTAAGAGAGCCTAGACATGAGATTGCAAAGTGAAGTGCCCGGCCTACATGCAATCCTTCAAAGGACATGGCCCCACACCATTTTCACTGACCTTTAACTAACTCCTCATGCACAGTGAGGGTGAGACAGGCCAGGCTGTTGGTGGCTAAGAGGGTTCCCCTTTAAGCCAGCACTGTGCAGTCCTGGTGGCAGCACAACGTAAAGGACTAAGGGAACAGGTGGGAGTACCTGCCCTTCCTCTTCTAGCCGCCTCCACAGAACTAGCTGGAGGACATGAGACTCCTACAGAATGGTGACTTCTGCCTGAGAAATCTAAAGCGACAGAGATAGGCTGGCAGGATGCTGATGGATAAGCCCAAGGACATAACACCTGCACTGGGATCAGCCTGCACCCCTCAAGTTTGTGGGAGCAAAGGATGTGTGACTATTTCTGATCAACCAGACATAAGCATAGGATGGGGCTATATCATGCTTACCCAGTAAGAGCTACCTCTTGCACAGCAAGGGAACCCAGCAGACAGGAGTACAAATGAACCAATGGGTTTTCTGGAGACTGAGAAAGGAGAGAGTGCGGCAGCCACACAAAGGAACCTGGAAGTAAGAAGTCCCCACAGATAGGTGAGGGGAGATCTCTAAACAACCTACAAAAGGGACCCATCAGAGGAAGAGTCAGCTCTAAACACCCACACACAAACACAGCTCTCCTGCAATGCCACTTGCCAATAACGTATTTCCTCTCCCCCTGTATGTCCTCCCCACCCTGCCCTCAGCCAGAAGTAACAGCTACATGCTGATTGAGCAAGAGGGAAAACATCCAGCACAGCCCCTTCTCTCTGCAACAGGCCCTCACTGGAGGAAGGAGAGCTGCTGTCAACAGGAATGAAGGTGGAAGCTGTGACTATGACCAGTTACTAGACATTTTAAGGACCTGGCAAATTAAAGTGGGACTTTTTATTATGGAGGAGGAGTCAGAAGAGTCATGTGATGTGTTTTCAGACAGAAACAGGGGAAATACTTTCTGCTGAATACATTTTAATGGGAGCATGGGAGACTAGATAAAATTGTGTGTGTGGGTGGGGGGGGGGGGTTGATGGCATCCCATGAAATCTATTTATTCCAGGCTGACTACACGTGGAACGTCTTTATGGCAGCATATCTCATGGAAAATGTACTTTCCAAAAATGTCCCCTCCCCCCTCATACACAAAAACACCTGAGCTTAAACACTAAGATCACAAGGGTTTCTGGGTTCGCCTTGCAACACCTCCATCCTTTGCAGGGCCATGCAGAGCCATCAGCAGCTATAGTAACTGCAACTGACCTTCTGCCCACAGCAGAGGTTCTCTTTCCTACACCGTCCTCCTCTTCCAGAAACATGAGCATGGTTCAGGAAGGGCTCCCTGCCACCAGGACCCCCCACATCACCAGGCTCAGCTCTGATCT